GGGACTTCTTTGCTAGCGGCAGTGGTGTGCTTTGTTGAGAGCGAGAAGATCGGTATTTGGGACGTGTTTGAATTTTTCGGCAGGTTGAGTTTTTATTTTTTTTGCTCGCAAGTGTTGTTCTTTTTTGTTGGTGTTAGTTTTCAAAACCGTTGTTGAATTGGGACGAAATCCATGCGGTGTGCATCCTGGGGTGAGCAAGGCCTAGAGCACGTGGTTTGTAGGCCAGGCCCGAAGCGAGTGAGTATGGAAGCCTCGTGGGTGGTTCGATTTTCTGTAAATAGCTTTTTCTATCTCTTTGGGCTCAGGGAGCCGGGCGTCGTTGCTGACTTGTATTGCGGCTCGACGCCGGGGCGTCGTGACACCCCCCGGGGCGATGGACGCCGGTCGCTCGGTTAGCTGCTGTGTGCGGCGAGCGATATGGCCACCTCACAGAGTGGATGTCTACTTACGGCTGCCTCTCCTGCGCCTAGGCTGGGTGCTGGGTGGATGCCGCTTGTTGCCGAGCGACTGATTAGGCCTAAGGCCCTGCGCAGCCGCCTGTTGCACGTGGCACAACTAGGTGGATCGTGGCGTTGAGGTGTTGCGCTCTGCTTTCCTCACTTATTTTTTTATCTTGCGATGCACGAATTAGGAAAAGTGACCTTTATTTTATTTTTGATGGGTGTCTCGGCCACCGCCTATGTATTAGCTAGCCGTACTGACCATCGTACCATGTGGGCGAAAAGCCCGAAGCTCCCTTTCCTAGGCCCTGCTCCCTTGTTTCGAGTGTTTGGAATATACGCAGCGGTAGTGATGTTATCCACGGCCGGCTGTCTTGTGCACATCATCAGGGCCGCTGGCCAGGAATGCGGTCCTGAGGTTGGGCGATGGAGACGCCTGAGACCTGAGCAACTGCCTGCAGTCCGGCGCCCTTGTGAGTACTGGTCGCAACTGGAAGACGTGTCGGCGCTAGCGACGGTTCGTCGCGCTGACGGCAACGTTGATGTTGCGGGGCCGGTACTGAGGTGAAGTCGAGCCGAACAGTGCAGCAGTGTCGACCGGCAGCGGTGTCGTGGTGCAAGGACATTATGGACATGTGATGTCATTTTTTCGTTAAAGCTTGTGTAGTTTATCTTTTTGTTTTCGGGATATGATTTGATTTGAGGTTGAAAAAATGGGCGGGGTGCTGACACTCCTTGTGAAGTTGTTTGCGCCATGTGGCGCATGTGTCTCGCCCCAAAGCCACATTTTGGGTGAAGACCGCCGGGCGATGGGTGGCATCGTATTCGCGTTGAGCACTACTATCGTCATCATCATCATCATGGGGTAGCGCCGGCAGTGACCCCTGGTGGAAGCGAGCTTTGGTGGCGGGCGAAAGTTGAGCAAGTCTATTACAATTAATGTATCAATACATTTACAGTTACAATTACTGTTATTTACAATTGATGTATCATTCGGCCCATGATATCGTCGTCTAAATTAGTTAAATGTATGTATGTTTATTGGTTTGTACCGACCGTGTCAACGATGTCCTTTCACTCCAGGAGCACGGCGTGGCGCTCGTTCGCCAATTCGAAACCCCACAACTTTTTGTTCTTTACTGTTCAAGGTGTTCAAGAGCTATGCAAAAGTGCTAATAAATATGCTTAGAGGCATATTTTTCAGAAGCTGACATACAGCGAGAGAGATGGTTCTTTGAGGTCCCACAGTTCATCTTGGTGCCCCTACATGAAACGCTCCTCAGGGCTAATGGCACCAGCAAAAAAAAAAAAAAAAAAGATATCAGGAACTGTGAATTATGCTGAACAAAAAAAAAGTTGAACAGAAACAAGTGTTTTTCTGTGAAACATGCACAGCAAACCTGTTTTTTACCGCATTGCGAAACTGCTTTGCACAGTGGCACGAAATACACTACGTGTAATATTATTTTATGTACACAAAAGCTTTTGTATTTACAGCAGTTATATCTACAGGATAATTGTGTGTGCTTCTTGCGCCTAAAATGTATAGTATTTCGATTTCTTTTCATGCTTAGCCTGTCCAGAGCTGTGTGTTGGCTCTACGAAATTTCTTTGTTCACGTTTACAATATTTTTTATTGAAAGAATATTTTCGTACTATTCCTAATAAATTTGTGGTTTCAAACTCACAATGTTTGAAGGATAACTGCTAGCTGTACAATTAAACACCATAAACATTAACATCAGTAACCGTAGGTGCCATAAAAAATTAAGGTCTTCTGGACTACCCGATAATAGCCATATTTCTCGCAGTCACAAAAGTGTTAAGTCATCTACGGTGAGAATTGAAACACACCTGCTAGTCCCATGTGGAAAAAAATGTGTAGAGTCTTCCTTTACATTTTCTTGTTTGCATGGCTGCACATGGTCAGCATTTTTTTTTATTTCACTGCTCAGAAATCGAAATATTTTTGTTACAGCCTTTATGTCATTAGTATAAGGGCATGAGACACGGGCCAAACGCTGGAGTTCCGTGATTGTGCGCAAATACGCTATGTTCATGTGTGAGACAGGAAATCTCATGGCATGAGTGGTGCTGGAAAATCCCACAGGATGAGCTGTCAATGTGCTGTGTGGCTTTGAGCTGCGAAGATGAGGGAAATAAGCGTTGCTTCAGCGACGGGAGCAGTAGCCACTCAATTCTGAAGGCTGTCGGCGCAAGAGGCCTGGGGAGTAGCCGTCGATCTCGGAAGACCCGAGTGAGGCTGCCCAGTATTGTCACGTCCTTTCACAGCAGTTTCTGGTGGTTCTACAGCTCGTCCACTTTGCACCAGGACGGTTGTTGCCCACACCTAGTCGTCAGAGTGACTCATAAGTCATCAGTGGGGCCATTTACGAGTTGAGCTTAAGGAAGCCAGGCTGAAGACGGCGACGGCAGGCTGAAGACGGCGACGGCAACTCAAACACATGAAGACAAGCAGCTTGTTGGGCGAAAACAACAGACGATGACAATACGAGCTTGTGGAGGATGCGATGACTGACTCGGCAAACCATCAACACGACAAGGGCACAGAGTCGACATGATGAACTGTAGGAACATTTGGTTACCGAGTCGCCATCTTGGCTCGATAACGGCTAGAGCTAGAGACGACATTAGCGTGGCTTACTGTTTGTTTGGGTCTTGCTTTGCTGTTAAGCAAAGTTAAACACTCGTGGCACACACTGTGACGTGCCAGAAACACTTGAGCACATATTTTGTGTCTGCCCAGCATATGCACGTGAACGACAAACACTGATTTCTTCTACTGAACTATATCGCAGTAGGTCATTAACTGATGAGACCATGTTGGGCACTTGGCCAGACACCAACAGTGCAACTGCGGTCACAAGAGCATTTATAACCTTTTTGGAAACAACTGGACTATGTGTGCGGCTATAAAATGTGTCTCAGCTAAAAAGAACGCTACATACTCACCTCTCTATCTCACCATCGTTTTTTTGTCGGCAATCTTTCTTTTCCCCTTTCCCTTCCCCCAGTGTAGAGTAGCAGGCTAGTGCAAGCTATCGCTCAGGCCGACCTCTCTGCCTTTCTGTAAATAAACTTACCTCCTTCCTCCTGCTTTGCTGTACAGCCTAGTTTCATTTGCATGCATTATTAATGAGTTAACTTTGAGTTTTTGTGTTTTCTACTTTTTACTTGATAAAGTGTCTTGCCACACCCCTCTCTGTCTTTCTCAATCTAATCCTTAGCAAGTACTTCTCGCATATTAGTGACACCTTCACTCTATTATACACCCAATATGGTGACATAACTATGCAAGTAGAAAAAAAGACAATAATGAAAGATTGTAGGTGTGTTATCTGTCTCTGCAAAACGGTTTGCGCCTCGTGGCACACAGGTATTTCGCAGATAGGTGGCAATAAGGGTTTACAACCATCGAGCAGTAGGTGGCGTTATGCTCGCGACTGTTTATCACTATTATCATCATCATGGTTAGCGCGGTAGTGCCAGCAGTGATGCCTGGCGGTGAGGCTGGGTGACGACACATGGCACATAAGCGAGTTTCCTTGGTGCCTGGCGGCTGGTGCAAACATTTGTCTTCGGCAGTGGGTCCATAGGTGGATGGCACCGCGGGTCGTCTGTCATGAACCCTCATGGCAAGTCTAGAGTTGGCGATGACGCCTTCACGATTCCTTGTGTTTGTTCTTAGGTTGACTGAGTGTATTGTTGTTTTAGCGTGTTCATCACTATATTTGATTAGGCTGACTATATCGTCGTAGAAAAAAGCAGTTGTGATTGGGCTGACTATATCGTCGTAGGAAAAAGCAGTTGAATAAATGTGTTGTTTGTTACGGTTTGACTGTGTCAGCTGTGTTCATGAGAGATCGGCATGCTCATTTAGATCCTCCACACTGGCTCCAACATGCACGCCAATTTTACTTTCGTTACACACTAGGCATACTACAATCGAACCACTTTTTATAAGAGACACTGATGTAAGAGACGCTTGAGTATAGGAGACACAAATGTGCCTCGTGTCTCTTATGCCTATTTGGGGTAAAATTGAGGCCAAACGATGAGAAAAAAAGAATGAAGAGCATTGTGCAATCTATGTAGCACCTACATAATGTAAATGTATTTTTTTCTTAGAAAGTTGACCTTGCATAATGATTGCACCCCTTTATTAACAGCGATAAAAATATGCTGTGTTCAAGTGAATATGGTTAGATTTACCATAGCCAATGCGTGATAAATCTTGGTAACACATGCTTTGTCTTTAGAATTCATTGTCTGATCTTTGTGCCAGTGCGAAATGCACTTTTCTTTTTTTCAAATGACTTGATTTGCAGTGATTGGTACAGCACTCTTGTAATAAATATAGTGTAGCTGTCTTTGTAACAAATGTTATTTTACTCTGCCACTGGACACACAGGCTGCTTCTCGGGATTTCCCTCCACTTGACGGTATTTAGTGCAGTAAACTAGAGCACTTTCTTTTCAACTTTTTGTGATGGCGCCATGAGGGGTGTTGTGTCGCCCATTGGAGTGTGGTGTGTTTCAGCTATCCAGCAGCATTCCCCTGACAAGCCTGTGCTGATCTTCGTCTCATCACGGCGACAGACACGCCTCACTGCTCTCGACCTGATTGCATTCCTCGCTGCTGAGGACAACCCACGGCAGTGGCTGCACATGCCTGATCACAAGGTGCGTGCTTTTAATGGAATAAAGCTGTAGAACATAGTGAGGGCGAGCATTGGTCTCGGACTGAAGAAAACGAGACCAAATTAGTCGCTAGCAGGGCACTTTAGGTGCCAACCTGGATGTAATTGTTGCAAATACAGATACAGTCCAACACGGATGTACCGAACCCGCATATACACAACTTTTGGCTATATCGAATGAGTGAATCGTGCCCGTGAAAACAATTGTTGAAAGTATACAAGTTTGTATGTTTATATGACATGGTATTTTACTCGTCATTGGTTATATCCAACGACTTGCAAGCTGCAAAGTCTGATTCAGTACTAGCTGCACCCCACGACCTGTGCAGCACCGTGCCTCCACCGCCACTAGAAAGACTAAAAAATGAAAGAGCAAGCAGGCACTGCTAGGTCTACTGGGCATGCTCTTCGTCTTTCTCATGCTTTCATCGCTAAACTGTAGTAATCGGTGGGTGCACAGAAGCCAGTAGCCTCCTCCTTCAGCTTCCATTTTGTTCCTGTGCCACGTGCACCTTCCATATTTATTGCAAATGGGTTCTGCAGAAACCTGCAAGGTGACGGAAGGGTTAGGAAGGGGAAAAAGACAAGCTCTGTTTGTAGTAGAAAGCTACAAGCTTTTCTTTCTGAGAAATCCGTACCATGTGGCTTCGTGCTACAAACGGATGGTTGTCTTTTTTCCCTTTTTTTAACCTTGCATATTTGCTCTGCCAACCACAGACCACCCCTTTTGTGCATCGCTTTGTCCCTTGGAGATGGCCATCATGAGCATGCCAGCTTACTTTGTTGGCGGCGTTCGTTTGGTCATTGGAAGGTCGTCTCGTGCCAGCACACCATCACATTCTTGTCTGGGATGCGCGCTGTGCTGGATTTCTGGGTGATTCTTAAGAAAACGTCTTAGCTCAAAATTTGACCACTGGTGATTCTATCAAAAACACAAAAATAGAGCTGGAAGATAAGTGCGTGAAAGTGATTTTGGTAAAGTATTTCTATTTTTAAAAAATCTTTGGTCGCATGACCACCCTTTAAATGTTCCCGCTAAAAATAAAAGTTAGGTGGGAATTAATTAATTTTATTTCACTTTGAAATTAACCAGAATGACTAATTGAATTTTAAAGAATTTCGTTGTCATTATATTTTCTTGTGATGTCACAACCAAAACCGTCTATTGATTTTTTGGCTTAAATAGGCCTGGCGAAAAAACAAGAAAATGGGAATTCCGTCACTTTTTGTAAAAGAGGGCATTGTTTCAGCTGTGCAATTTTTTTAGGTCTTTTACCAGTCAACATAGTATCTCATAAAAATATTATCAAGCTATCTAAACAAGCATTTATTGAGAAATGGGCTCGCAAAGTCAGCAAAAATTTACTTTTTCGGGATATTCACTTGTAATTTAAGCATCAAGCCAATCACGATGAAAATATATGAGAGAATTCAAGTGATACTAATAAATTGAATATTGAAAGCTGATTTTACTGTGTCAGTTTCTCAAAATGAGTCGGATCAGTGAAGTACAAAACCAACAGTGCAACGCTGGTGGCAGATGTAGTGGCCACGCCATTGGAACGCATTCTAAACCTAGTGGGTGCACTTATTTTGGGCTCACTGCATGATGGTCTGTCATATTAGTAGTTCCCAGAGAAGGGGACTTCATCATGGGAGCTCATACCGAAGAAGAGTCATTTCACACACTGTGCACATCGTGTCTATACTGCATGCCTGCGTCTGTCAGTGGGAGGAGAGAAATCTTGAGCAGCGTGTTGGCCAGAAATAGTGATATATCCAGATCTCAATGACAGGCGTCCTCAGGCAGTTCGTCTAGACAAAGCTTGTCAAACACCGCATGACCATGGCATTTCCCGAATTGGCCTCAGAGCCAGCAGAATAAGTTACATGAGGATATATTGTGCTTGCCTTTTTTGTGGCATACCTTAGATCCTGTAAATTTAAGAAACACAATTGGGCATTTTTGTTTAAAGTTTGAGAATTGGGCGTGCGTTACGTTAAATAAGAATAGTATAAGCAGGTGCTCTGCTTTACATTTTTACTATGCACTTTTGGTGCATGATGATCGACATACCTTGTCCAAAATGTGTGGTGACAGTTTTTAATCTTTCGATAGGTCAATGTTTGCAGGGAGAGTTCGGGATTATGCGTGTCATTTAGAAGCACTGCGATTTCATTTTAAGAAAACAGTATCATTATGTTTATTTTTTTGATGTTCGAATGCTTTGAATAGTAAAATTACAGTGTAAATCAAATCGAATAGCAAATGCTATTCTAAAACTATTTGAAAGCTTTAATATTTGCTTTCTCTTGATGCTATTCCATCCTTGTGTGCTTTGTTCGTGGACACTTAGCACTCCATTATACCACACTAATTTTGACACTATTTTAATTTTTGCTAACTGCTTTCAAAATACCCACACATTTACTTCTTGTACAAGCATTCTTTCTACAATATTGCGCGTGACAATATTGTCTCCTTTCTGATCTACACGTATGTATTTTTATTTGCAGATGGACTCTGTGATCCAGGGCGTACATGACCAAAACCTCAAACTTGCCCTGGCCTTTGGCATTGGTCTTCACCATGCAGGCCTGCAGGAGAAGGACAGAAGAATTGTCGAGGAGTTGTTTGTGAACCAGAGGATTCAGGTAGTCATTGGGGACCAGCTTCCTTAAATGTCTCGAGATTGAATGCTTAAGTGTTACTGAATGATGTATTAGTCATACAGTAAACCTGCCTCCACATGATGAATTCCCCAATATTACCAGGTTTTTCTATTCCCAATCATCACTCCATAAAAGCACATGTATTTGCAACCTCTGTGCACAGCCTGCCGTGTCATTTCCCGAACAAAGGCGTGAAAGTAAAAGTTGACTGACCGGCCACGACTGGAGGTGAGAGTGCACCTGCTTGCATCATGTAATCCCACTAATCCTCCCTAATTCGTGACATCTTGCCAATCAGCGTGCATCGAGACTGCTTCTATGAAGAAGTCCATTCCTGGCCAACCCAAGAACTTTTCCTCAAAGTTTGTACATTTCAGTAATCAATGATGCGTTTGTGAAGAATTATTACTGATAACTGTCCGATTCACATTATACTTACATATATATCATGTGAACAAATACGTCACAACGTGCAAATAACTGCGCTCAGCATACCTTCATAAATAATATACACATTAACCTTTGCTGTTTAGTTGACACTGAATTTAAACCCACTGTGTTATTCCCAATAACACTATTATTGCATTGTTGAGCGACATCAACACGAAAAGCTTGGAAAAAATGGGCCAGCGCATAACTGACTTTCATGTATTACCGCAGGCGTTCACTTAACGTACAACACCGGCGCGCATCTAATACAGTCAAATCCAGATAATTCGAACTCGGCATCAGCGACTGGCATCAGCGACTATACTCACGAAACTTGCGGAAGCAGATGAAGAGGCTGCTATAGCACTCTCCACTCAGACGAGTGAGGATCCCATCGTGGTCTTTACTGACTCACAAACAGCGGCACGGAACTACCTGAAAGGCAGAGTCTTCACGGTGGCAAATAATTTACTAAAACGTATGGACAATGCTCCTCCTATTCATGCATTGTGTGTGTTCCAAGTCACGAAGGTCTCGAGGGAAATGAAGCAACACACACCGCAGCCCACGAATGCGTCAACTGGGCATTCCCGCATGAGATACGAGGCACCCTCAACTCAAGAACAGAAGCAGAGGCTAGAGAACCCATACCACCAACGTATCATGCATTACTGCAACATTATCGGCCCGAACGCAGGTCATATGCTCCGCCACATTCAAAACTCACAAGAGATGAAGGCACCGGCTACAGGCACCTTCAAAGCAACACGTTCACTCATGGGGTACTAGTGCACTGTATGAGTTCAACGTTGCATAGCTACGTCTGTCCTTACTGCAACGTGGCAGACACTCTGGCGCACTTCCCACTGCAGTGCAAAGTAAGCATCCTAAGGCTTCAAGCAGCAGCATCAGATGCGGACCAAGACTGCCTCAGTGAAGCGCAGCAGGCTGTGATCTCCCAGCCGGACCTTGTTAATCAGCGTCAACTCGTCGCTCGAGCCTGGCGGGCTATCCAGGCCAGAGGGTGCCTGAGACAAGGGACCCTTCTACCTTCACTCAAAATCCTTACTCAATAAATGTTTTCCCTCTCCTCTCCTCTCTCTTTGCATGCGGTGTTGAAAGGAGAAGGGTCTCTATGTGGCAGGGACAGAAAAGGGAGAAGTACGTCATTTATTGGAGATGTACGTCATTTATTGATGTAACCCCCCTGCTATAACGCCTTCGGGTTCTGCGGGGTATCTGATGAATAAAGAATAAAGTGTGGCACAGGCGCATCGCAGATCAGCATTTGAGAAAGAGAGGAAATTCCGCAGCAGCCCTTTTTAGCCCTTTCTTCTGTTCCTCCTTCGCGCGCAGCGTTGAGATGGCGGAAGTGCCGCCGCGGGATGGGGTGTGGCGCTGAGAGCATTTTCAGAGCACGGTATGTTCGAATTAACCATTGCAAGTGCTTGCGCTTTCAAATTACAGGGCGTTTTCACCTATTAGAATACACATAGCTTTGACGGAACCACAGCGCGAGTTCGAATTAAGCGTGTTCGAATTGATGAGATTCGACTGTAGTAGGCTTTTTTTTTTTTTTTGAGTGAAACTTTTACTACCGACTATAGTAACCTAGAACTGGAAGTCAGCAGAACGTCAGGCTGGTCAGACCACTGTCAAAATTAACTCATTGTCCTTTCTCGGGTTCATTATCTTTTTTTTTTTCATGGAGGCACATGCAGTTCCGCAAGCAGCAATATTGTGTAATAAAGGCTATTATGCTTTCATTTTACTGTAAGGTTAATTAGTGCAGTTTTTAACATGGACAAGAAGTATAAGAAGGACACGACACTCACTACACTCGCAACTAAATTTGTAACAGAAAAATACTTTATATATATTGCCATGTTCCTTTTCTCAAGTTATGTTATCGCCTCGTTACACTACATTCAGTGCAAACCGTGCCTACGATGTTCGAGAAGCTGCGAGGCTGTAGTAGATCATTCTGTTAAGATTATGCCCACTTCGTGAACATTACAGATTATTTTGGAACCATTGTCACCGCTAGCGATAATGCTAGAATATTCGACGGCAAGGGTATAAATGCCAACACGCTTCGCCGCTTGTCAGTTGATTGACGGCCGACGCCCTGCTCGTCGCTATAAGTGCCAGCTTCTTGCTGTAATCTGAATTTCCTATCATGTGGCCACAAGGTCGGCCCGAATAAACAGGTTATTATTCGACCTATAGCCTGCTTCCATCGTCCACGTCACGACCCCGTGACATCTGGTGCAGGTGCTTCTCGGCCCATGTACCGAACGCCTCCCTCTAGCCGTGAGCCATGACCACCCTGTCAAGGGGACATCGTCAAAGCTGAGCAGCGAGCCAGCCACCAGCAGCAAGGGCTCCCGCCAGAGTTTGGGCCTCTACCTGACCCAACCCAAAAGACTCAAACCCTGAGCTCGACCACTGCAACGGTGACAGCTCCTGCGCCACCTGTACCCATCCTGCTCCAGCTGCCTAAGGAGCCTCCCACTTTCCGTGGATCATCGTTTGAAGACCCAGAAAGCTGGCTGCAGACTTATGATGGAGTCGCCATCTTGAACAGCTGGGACACCGACGAAAAGCTGCACCGCGTCTACTTTTACTTAGAAGACGTCGCAAAAACATGGTTCGAGAACCGGGAACCTATTCTACGCACCTGGGATGTCTTTCGGACAACGTTCCTGAACACTTTCACGAGCGTCATTCGCAAGGAACGTGCTGCTAGTGCCTTGGAGAGACGGATTCAACTTCCCAACGAAGGTGTGAACATCTTTGTACAAGAGATGACCCGTCACGCCGACCCCAACATGACTGAGGAGAACAATGTGAGCTTCTTTATGAAGAGTCTAAAGCAAGAACTTTTTTTTGTAAAGCAGAAACCCGCCAAAGACGTTCCCTGAATTTGCCTCGGAAGCATCCACAATCGAGAAGACGCTCGAAACATAGATATGGCAGTACAATCGCAGCTTCTCGGTTGCAAGCTACGCCGAGATCCAAGCACTGGGAACCACTTACCTGCGTGAGATGATCCGAGCCATCGTGCAAGAGGAGCTGTGGAAATTACTACCTTCAGCGCAGCCTCAAGTGAACTCCGTCGAGGACGTCAAACACTTCCACAGCCACAGGTGCAAGCCATGAGCTATGCTGCAGCAGCCCGCAGTCAGGTCCCTCCTCCACGCTCCTGCCGAGACACCGCATCGCCGCAGTTTCACCGTGAGACAACATTGAGGCACCCAGCATCGTCATACCGCCCGCCGGCTGGCCAGCGATACATGCCGAGGAAAACGAACGTTTGGCGCGCCCCCGGCCATCGCCCACTAGGCTACCACTGCGGGAAAGCTGGCCACACCTACCGCCGCCGCTCCCAGCACCGACAAACAGGGCTACGCGGTTTCGACGTGAACGCGCCGTGTCCACAGCAGGGTGAACGACCTCAAGATATTGCTGACTACTTCGTAGGAGCACAGTGGACACCCCGATGACCATACCGTTCCCCGTCGCCAGGCCGCTACATGTCACCGCAACGCCGACAGTACACAGGCCCTACTTGAGGCCTTTCCCCAAGCCCACACTCGGAAAACTAAGGGCAGCAACCGATGGAAGTGCGATTGCTGTACGACGAACTACTAAACATCCTCCGCCGTCACCGCAACGAAATTGCAAGCACCCGCCGCGAGACGGAAAGGGTATTGACGTCAAACCTTCTCATCATGAAGATAGCACGATGCAACGTGGAAGCAGTGGAGCAAATAGACGTAGCCCTGACCCGACGCCGCGACCCAACCGCAGCGCACAACGAACCAGCAACCTCGATGTAATATTCAATGGCCACCTCGTCACTGCTCTCGTCGATACCGGAGCCGATCATTCCGTCGTCAGTGGGTCTTTCGCGATGAAATTGAAAAAAGTGAGAACTGCATGGCAAGGCCCCGAAATCTGGACCGTTAGAGGTCACTTAATAACACCGACTGGAGTCTGCACAGCTAGAGTCACCATCAATAACTAGACTTATCCTGCGAGTTTTGTCATCTTGCGAAATCGCTCCAGGGATGTGATACTTGGAATGGGCATTCTAAGTCAACGCGGCGCTGTCATCGACCTCAGGTCTGAGTTAATACCTCTAACCCCAGAAAACACCCTGCCGACCGCTACAACAAGTAATCACGCATTGAATGTGCTAGAAGAGCAGGTCACCATGCCGCCTTGCTCCAGCGTCGTCATTTCTGCTGGAACCGAAAAAGCCGAAAACCTTGAAGGCATCGTCGAGGGCGATCAGCACCATCTCATCTCCTGGACCGTCAGATTTGCGTCGCAAGAGGCATAGCTGAGCTGCGTGATGGCAAGGCAAAGGTGGTGCTGACAAACTTCAGTCACAAATACGGAGATAGATGTTGAACCACCACGCTGTGCGTCTCTGACTGATGGGCTGCCAAGGCTCAAATCAGCGCCAAATGTCCAGGCACATGCTGTTGAAGACTGTAGAGGTCGCCACCCTTCAGTCATTTAGTTCGGCTGCCACTAACATGTGG